TTTTTACTTTTCGATTATTTTTTGATTAGGCACTTTTAAAAGATGCTTTTTAATGTGTTCGTCTTTTTTATTATTTAAAAAGTACACTTAAATCTGTGACGTTCGGTTGTGACGCGGCAACACCCCTTATGTTCTATGCTTTAATCATCTATAAAATAAATTCAGTTAAACATTATTGAATGAAAAAAGTTTAATTAGATTTGAATTTGTGCATCTTTTGGTATATTATATTTGACAATATGACGCCAAATATAAAAGATATGGACACAGTGATATTACTTTTGGATCAGCCCTCGTACTTATCTAAGAAAACAGAGGTCAAGGTCAAAGGAAAGGTCAAGGAAAAAAAAATGATGCAAAGCTTGCATCAGTATGTATAAACATATGAAGTTTGATTACACAAACTTGGATGATATCTTTAAAGCTAAGCTTATCACCAATTTAAGAAAAAAGAGGTCAAGGTCAAAGGAAAGATGAAGGTAAAAAAAATTTGATGCATTTGAATAGCTTACATCAGTATGTATCAACATATGAAGTCTTGAATTGTATCTTTAAATTGAGCTAAATCTTTGTGAGGTCATAAAGGATCAAATTTATTTATGCATTTGAATAACTTACACAAGAATGTATCATCATATGAAGTTTGATCACACTACCTTGAATAGTATCTTTAAAACTGAGCTAAACACTTATTTATTTAAGAAAAGTGAGGTCAAGGTCAAAGGAAAAGTCAAGGTAATAAAATGTTGATGCAGTTACATAGCTCTCATCAATATCTCTCAGCATATGAAGTTTGATAAAATATCTTGAATTATTTCTTTGAAACTTAGCTTTGACAGTGATAGCAAAGTGTGACGGAAGGACAGCTTGGAAGAGAGACAAACACTATCACTTCTCAATTTATAGTCTCATTTCGCTTTAAATAATGTACCGCGTTTTAAGTAATATAATATTTCAAATAAATTTTACCATTTCTTTGTTGGTTGTTGATTAAAATACAACAATTGTTTGTTGGCTTGAATGATTGTCTTAGAGAAAACCACATTTTATTGCAGAAATCGATATTTACGTTACTGTTGCCGATCATCGTGTAGTTTTTATTTTAAACCAAAAAGAATTTTTAAATCATCTCTTTTTCTTAGTAAGATTGTCCTACATTTGAGTTATATTTTCTGAATATACACCCTTCACACATATGCGTGTCACAGATTTTTAAAAAAAAATTAATATATTTATCAAATTTTGATGTCACCGCAAAATTATTACTTTTTATTTTCTAACACAAGGATAAGGACTACAACTCAATAGGACTAAGTTGTAACTTTTTAACACACATTTTTTGCATTAAAGGTAAAAAGGACACTGTTTATCTGTGTTTATGAACAATAGCCCCCCTTTTCTTATAAGTCCAATGGTTAAAGAATTCAAATAACGTGTTAGTATTTAAGACAAATTAAGTAAGAGAAAATTGTCCCCTATGGGCCAAATTGCCTTACACTAAGCATAGAATATGCCTTTGATTAACAGTGGAATAATTGAACAATGGCATTAAAAGTTAAAAATCTCAGAAGATATTTAGGTTAATATTTACGTTACCATGTTTTAAAGTAAATAAGTATTAATTTCTAAAGCTGTTTGAACAGATTTGCTAGTGAATCTTTATGATGTAAATTTTAATGTCCATGAAGAAATATACACTGTTTCTTAAAATGTCATTTTTTCTGTAACAAGAGTTTGCAAATGGAAGTGCACATGCAAAGGTGAACATTTTTACTCATTATCTTGTGCATCCGTGTGATTTGAAAATTGAATTGACATAATATTATTCACAAAAATCGTGGTTTAATGAAATCTTTCCACTTTGAGCAATGGTTAATATTGCATATTTCAAGTGTAATGCACATTATCATTCGGAACGTATATCTGAAACAAAACTTTCTTCAAGTCTGTATTTTGCTGTTTGTTTGAACTGAAGTGATAGTCAACTTTAAAAAATGGTTATATACACTTGAATTGTATACCAAGCTAAATATTTTGAAAAAAAAATATCATTTTTGTAGGAAATATAACTTCTAGAAAATAGGCGCTGCTCTCAATTTTCACACAAAATGCATAAAATAAAGGTAAAACGGCTGTGGGTGTTGTGTGTCAAGATACTGGTTAAAATGCAATCCAAAAAATTTCCATTTTTGTTGCTTTGCAAGAAAAATTTCATTAAATTGACATAAAACTTGCACTAATTTTTCAATTTAGCATTTTCAAACATATTTTTCCGTGAGGTATTTATTTTAATCTTATTTTAAATTTTTTCTTTATATGAACGTAGGTATATTGCTTATGGCACATGATGTACAATTATGACAAACTTTTTAAGGGTGGTGGGCTCTTTGTTTTATTTTTATATTTCACGAGAAAGTTTTCACAAACAATTAAGCATTTTGGTATGTAAACAATACATAACACGGCGTTAGTTGTTTAATTTCTTTAAAATTTCACGTTTTGTGAATAGTGCACAAATTAGAAAATTAAGTATATGGAATACTTTAATGGGAAATAAAGACAAACGAAGTGTAGTTATTTGTTTTTAGAAATTATATTGAAAAATAATAATGCCATTGTGTCCTCTTAGTGTTACCCTAGCAGTGTTTTTTTTTTGTGTGATTTTAAAAAAAAATTCTCTGACACACACACACACATACACTTTATAAAAATAAATGCTATGTGATACTGATGTACAAGTAACAGTTACTGGCATATACGCCGTTGCTTTATGAGTCCTATAGTTTTTATAACTTGAATTTTCAATTCAACCCTTTGAATAACACAGATTAGAAAATTCATAAAATTCAATAATATCAAGTATTATACGCGATTATACTTTTATTTTTGTATGATATCTATGTGCGATATTTACGTGATATTTAACAAACACTTCGTAATCAGGTAATGGCAAAATATTTAACATTTTTATATTTAAATTGAGCTTTCTACTAATTTAAAGAAAATTAAGGTAGCATTTTAGGTATTATCATTATTAAGGTCAAGGTCAAAATATCTTAAAAAGAAAATGCATTTAAATGAAAATTATGTCAGTTTTATTTATACATAATATGAAGTTTGATCACACCTTTCTTGATTTCATAAATGTATCTTTAAAAATTTGATGTGTATTGTATTACATTTTGTATTTTTAAGAAAGTGAGGTCAAGGTCAAAGGAAAGGCTTTTCAACATCATAAAATGTTGATGCAGTTACAAAGCTCTCATCAATATCTCTCAGCATATGAAGTTGATAAAAAAAATCTTTAATTCTTTCTTTGAAACTTAGCTTTGAACTAAGCTAAACGCAAAGTGTGACGGAAGGACAGGTGGAAGGGTGGAAGATGGACATGACAAACACTATATGCCCCGGCCATAGTCATGGCTGGGCATAAAAAAGGATTATAATCAAATAAAAAGAAACATGTTACAGTCATTTATTTTAATTGTAAATGTTCTCCACATGTAATTATTTTCATTAAGTTAGTTTATAAATATTTCATTTCGATTTCAAAGTGAACCAAATCTCAAATGAATAAATCATCATTTTTCAATATTCACTTTAACTGCTGAAACTAAGGGTACCTGCATCAATTAACATGGCTATATTGCAATCAATATAATACCTACTTCCAATAAGCATTGACTGTGAACTTGGTTAAAAAAAAAAAAAACAACTGTCATTCTTAGTAGTTACTGAGTCTCAAAGAGAAAAAAAAATACCGTAAAACAGGAATATAGCAAACTCACCAAAATATAATGAATTTTCTGAGACTTTTATCTGCAATTTTACTTAATTCAACAATTATTCTTTGATTATTCTGTAACAGTTTCTTGTAGTATATTAAATGCTTGTATTTGACTTATAGCAAATCATTCAATAGCTTGACTGTCCAATAACTTAGATAGCTTAGGAGTGTCTTTTTAGACTAAATTCAGTAAATTGCTTTGGAGTCGAAACTCAAGAGAAATATTACAGTGTCTTTTCCAAACAAGCAATAAATTCATTTCACAATATTCTTGAAAGAAGCACTACAGATTCCTTCTGTAATATTTATGGACAACATCATATTACCCTTGAAGAGCTGGAATGCACACTGCATTGGAATTAATATCTGACAGATTTTACAGACTTGTCATCCATATGTGATGAAATAGAGACTATTGATATGAGAACTGTAAGAGCCGATGTATTATTGAGGATGATGAGGAAGCATTGATACTGCTTCATAGGTGTTCATAAATGTAGAATCTGTCAGGTCTTAAGAGAGAATCCTAGCTATCTGGGGTGTCTCAATCTCCATGAAAATGACTAAGGGAGAATTACGTAACAATTACAGTCTGTGAGCAATGTCATATCTAAAGCCTTTTATTATTTAAAATGTTCACGTTACAGACAACTGTAAGCAGTTTTTACTATTAAATTATTCTGCAAATGAAGAAAAAAATTGAACTACCATTAAATGGAAAAAATGGAAATGCTGAATTCATTTCCCCCTTTCTACCAGATACTGAAACTGTCATAAAACTTACATTCTAGGGCAAAAAAAAGTAAATCAGGCTAGAAAAATAATCAAAATTGCATGATTAATTCATTAACACTTAGCAAGTAAATGACATAAATTTAAATAATCAGGTAAAATGAAATACTTATTATGGTCCAGTAATGATAGACTGCACAATTTAACTGTTCGCACTTACTGACTTTAATGAAGGAGTGTTAATTATTTCTACTTAAGGATGAGCACACCTGTGTCAGTTAAAATGTCATCCAGGTAAATATAATGCTTCAATTTTAATGTTGAGAAATATAAAGGATATTTGTTGCAAGGAGCACCTTACATAAGAGTTCATGATATTCGGGTCCTTCTATATTATAACGCTGGCTGGTTCATAGATGGCATCAAGTTGAAGCAGCACAGAGACTGAATTACCCTATATTTATTTATCTTGCTTTTCCAGATAATCCCAAGACAGCCCAAGATATATGGAAATGGAATCTATTAACGAGAAATGCCTGATGACAATTTTTTGACGGAATAAATAGCAGTGCAGACTTTGTGATAAGTGTAGAGGAAAGTGAAACTATTAACTGACAAAAAAAGGACAGTGATGTATTATTCATTTGAAGTTGAAAGACAACAGTATTGAAATCCTGCAGTGAATTCTCAGCGAGATTAAAAAACAAATTTGCCGAGACAATATACATCACAATTCTCAAGGCTGTCATTTGCTGTTCTAAGACAATCGGAAATTTTCAGCAGAACTAATCTGAGGATTAGGGTATAGATTCTAATTAGGTCTGACAGATAAATCTGTCACCCTGTTATCGGTGACAATCTTACGGGGATCTCTGACAATCCTACGACATCACAGCAGCGAACTATACAAACACGGAGGGATGTGGATCTACATCAGAAAATCCCCGAGATTAAGAGGATTCAGTAAAACAGAGATGACTATAGGATTACAAGATTGAGCAAGGTATGGAAACCATTTTTTAACAAACCTATGTGTTCGTCTTCAATACAGCTCATCAAGGGGAAAATTAAACTGTCTGCTTAAACACCTCAGTTGATGAATCCCTTGATATACAAACCTCTTAGAAGTCAAAGAAAAAAAAATTGCTGATATGAAAGTCGTAAAACAAAAAAGATCCTGCTAAATGCACCGAGTACACTAAGGCCTAATTCTAAATCTGATCAAGTCCCCACCAAGTTTATGTCAAACACCATTTATCAAGGATTTTTTTATTAGGGGGTAATAATAAAAAAAAAATTATCAGTAAATTTTTTTTTGCTCTGAAACTAGAACTACATGATACAAGTTTATTTTCCCAAATGTTTTTAGATTATCTTGTGAGAGATCATAATATCTTTTTTCTGATTTACATTTAGATTTTTTAATATTTTCATACAATTCAACAGTGCGCATCTTTTTTCATTGTCATCTTTGACTAATCAATAGTGTTTTCTTCCTCAGGTAATCACGGAGAGTTGGAATCCCGTTTTAAATGTGCAAAAGATAAAACAATATTTCAAAGGGAATATTTCAATAATGGATTAAATCAGATTGGAAGATCTCATTGTGCTTCATCAGAAATTACGTTTGTTTACTGTTCATAAACTTTTCTTTAAAAGATTCAATCAGTGTTGATCAGAACAAATAAAAAACGAACACTTCTTGGGAGTCTCCTGAGGAGAGAATGCAAATATTCAAGATGCGCTATAATAATTCCAGTTTATGTGAATCTGTGGATGCACCTTGGTGGTGTGACCAGGAAGCAAGCTTAATAGTTCTCATGGCTATTGCGATAACACTTTGTGTCATTGGAAGTTTTGGCAACCTCATCACAATCTTAGCCATCATCTTCTCCAACCTACGTAACAACGTTAACTGCATTCTAATCGGGAGTTTAAGTATGGGAGGATTTCTATACTGTTCTGTTATTCTGCCATTACAGGCAGTCATATATTATCAAGTCCAGGACATCACCAGTGAATTTTTCTGTCGTGCTATGGCTGGTATGAGATATAGTTTGGTGGGGACTATTCTACTTAATCTGAGTGTCATTGCCTTTTACAGGTACCTTAACATCGTCCACATAAATCTCTACCACAAACTGTCCACCACGCGGTCCCTAATGCTTGCTATCGCCATTAGCTGGATCTTCCCCCTTTTCTTCACAATACCCCCAACTCTATCCCTTTGGGGCTCCTTTTCCTTCAATAAGAAAGTTCTTGCGTGTACTTTCTTTGACAATGGCAGTTTGTCTGATCATTCCAATCGTTACGCCACTGTGACAGCTGGATTCATTGTCCCATGTTTCTTTATCACCTTCTGCTACGCCAGGATAGGCTGTGTCGCATATGGAAGCTCCAAACGAGTAAGTCAGTGGAGTACCAGCACCACACAAACAAAGGCTCTCCGCCTTTCAGCCATGATGTTGTGTATATTTGCCATATTTTTTGTAGGAACCTTTCCCTATTTTACAGTGAATGTTTATGACAGGCATTTTGAGCAGCCGATCCACCATCTGTGGACGACAGTTTTATGCTGGTTGTCATACTGTTTGAATCCTGTGGTGTACACAGTAATGGACAGGAATTTCCGAACAGCATACAGACGATTCTTAATGGGAGATTGTGAAAGGTCACCACTAAATAGGAATGGGTCATTTCAGCCCCCTTTGACCCCTGTGTGACCTCAGAAATGACTAAATATAGATATCCTTCTCTTACCGGTATTTGAAACCTGTACAGTAAAACTCATTTAGTACGAACACGGATATAGCGAATTCACGGATATAGCAAAGTTTTTCCGAGTCCCCGGCAAAATTCTTAACAAATCTTTGCAAAATTTCAGGGTTATAACGAATTTACGGATATAACTGTTTATGAGTCCCGTTGAGGTTAATTACATTGAAATTTACATCTTTTATAACGAACTTTCAAAAATCTCAAAATTTGATAAATTAAACTGACTTTATTTTCATTGAGCATTTGTATATAAAACACAAATCATAAAAAACCTTAGTTAATGAAGGTATGTTTTGTAGTATTTGCTTACCTGACATATTTGGTAGTAACACTTGAAGGAAAACATGCATATTGCGAATTCGCTATATATGGTTATGCGATTTCGTTACACGGATATAACGAATTACGGATATAGCGAATTAAATTCACATGTCCCCAGGACTTCGCTATAACTGAGTTTTACTGTATTATATTATCAGAAAAACTGGGTCAAATAGAGAGTCCTTGGCATGAATACTATATTTGGTATTGTTTCTTTGTTTTTGAGTTGCTGTTGTATAAAAGAGATTTAAACTAAAAGCTGATTATATTTTGTCAGAGAAAACTGATGACATTAAAGAATTAAGAATTGCCTTACTCTGAAAGACAAGAAATTATATATAAAGCATGTGCTCAACAAGCTAATACATGTAGTTATTATGTATTAGGTTATTTAATTTATTTAATTATCCTTGATGTTTGAATTGGTGCTACAGATGTTTAAATGTTATAATTTTATTGAGAGACTGATTTTATAAAATTTGATTATTAATTGAAGTTTAACATAAATAGAGGATATTCAATGTTTTGTTGATGAATATGAATTCAATGTTTTGTAGTTGAATATGAATTCATTTCAGGAGTGGGAAAGGATTTTTTTTCTATTTAATTTAACGAGTGTGAAGCACATGTGAAAATATCAAAAAATCCTGTTTCATGAGTGAAATAAATTCCAAATTCAACAACAAAACATGGAATTTTCTGTTTATTACATTTTAAAAATTTCTTTGATTTTCCCTTTATTGCCTCTGTCTTTTAGAAATAATTTAGTAAAAGGCTAGACATGGCGTCATAGTTGAGCAATTGAGATGTCATAGCTAAGTGAGGTGAAAACATTGTAAACATGGATTAGCAGCATATTTTTGGTAATTTTGGCAGTTTTATTCTCTGTCAGAATGGACTAGCTATTTAACCTCTATCTATCTTATATATAGGTCAAAGAAGATTTTTTTACAACACTCACCGTTATTGGAAGGAAAATCAAGAGTTTTACCGCACATCTGATATTTGTCACTTTGTGAAAGGATATCATTTTGATATCCTTTCACACTGTGACAGGATATCATTTTTATTCAATGAATAAATTACAATATGTCACTAGTAAAAATGTAATAAATAGCTTTAATCATCTTTGTTCACTACAGTTTGTGGGCATATGATAAATATGACAATATTTGTGTTTATATATGTTTTCTTTAATGTGGATTTTAAAGTTGTTTTGTTTGAGTGAGGAAAAATTATTCATATATATTGTTTCAGTATTAATTATTCATTTCTACATTCCAACCTGGAATTATTATCAAATAAATGTAAAAGATAAAACCTTGATTTTATTTTTATTGCTAGAAGTAATTTTAGCAATTTTAAAATGCTAACTAAAGAAGCTATTACGAATAATAAGAAATTAATTTTTAGCGATATCTAATTTTAGCGATGTCAGCACCCTCGCTAATAATGCCAAAATTAAATCCTTGCTAAAAATTCTACTTATACGGTATGACAATATTTGTGTTTATATATGTTTTCTTTAATGTGGATTTTAAAGTTGTTCTGTTTGATGTTTTGTTTGAGGAGGAAAAATTATTCATATTGTTTACAAAACATTAATTTCATTGCAACTGCTGTAAAGCAAATGAACAGAAACTGCAAAAAATGGAATTTCTCTATCAAGGGCCATAAATGTAAAAGATAAAACCTTGATTTTCTTTTATATTGCACTAGATTCTAAAGGAATTTTGATTTTGATTTGTAAACATATTTTAAAGTAGAAATATGTTCCAAAGGGCAGTAATACCCCACCCAGAGTTCAATAGTAATGCAACATGAAAATATTTTAAGTTTGATGAAAATATCTTGTAAAGTCAAATGTCACTTCCAGGAAGCATTGGCCAATCCGATGTTTAAGAAAAAATAAAAGACAAAGTTGATAAATTCTCTTCAAATAATGTGTAAGTGCATATTAAGCTTACATTATACTACCTGGAATTGTTTTATTAATTTAAGCAAAAAACAAAACAAAATAAACAAGATAGAGATGTTTGTAAAACACTTATGCCCCCCCCCCCTCCCCCAAATAATAATGGCACGATCATACCCAAAACAGAAATCAACCTAGATATTAATTCGATAAATCTGTATACAAAATTTTATTTCAGTTTGTGCAACCACTGTAAAGCAAATGAACGGAAACTGCAAAAAATAAGAATTTTTAAAACAGAACTTGACCTAGATATTCTTATGTTAAATCTGTATACAAAATTTCATTTCAGTCTGTGCACTGGAAGTTACTGGAATTTTTCTAAGTCCAAATGGCATTAGCATATAGAAGATTTGGTAAAATATATCAGCTTTCTTTGAAACTGAAATTAAGAAAGTGGGGTCAAGTTCAAAGAAAAGGTCAAGGTCAAAGAAATGTTGATGCTGTTGAAAAGCTCTCGAAATGTATCGGCATATGAAGATTAGTAATAATATCTTGAATAGTTTCTTTGAAACTGAGTTAAATGCAGTTTGTGATGGATCAACAGAAGGATGGAACTGTTACTTCTTTACCAAAATATTGAGTTCTACAAAAAATGACTTCAACAGTCATTTTTTATAGAACTCAATATTACAGTGGAGCTATAATATTGTGAAGTCTGCTTGCCCATAAAAGATGTTCTTAAAACAGGTATATGTCTCTCTAGTGTTTTTTTAAACCATATTTACTTTCCAAAAGTAAAGTGCTACATTCAAGTGCTAGGAAAAGCAGTTACTCAATACAATGTAAAAAGTTCTCATATGAAAGCAGTTGTGCCAATCAAGCCAGGTACCAGATAAAAGAAAGAAATAAGACAAAATTTGGGAATTATATGTTGCACATAATCTCAAAAGCTGCTTGAGGAAGATTTAAGCACAGAATGTAGATTCATTTCAGCAATAACTATAAATCCTTTATGATAAAAAAAATACAGTCGATTAAAAACTGTTCACTATAGAAAGAAGTCAGTGAATTTGCAACAATTAGAGAAAGAGATATTGCCAGTTGCCAGCTCTTAAGGAGAACCCTGCCATATAGAGAGTTTAGAATCATCACAAATATTACCCAGGTTGTACAGCTTTTCCCTAGAAGTAGTTCTGAATTCAGTCAATAAAAATATAAGGACTGCTGATGAGCTAAGGGAACAATGTTGTCCTAGTATCTCCTTATTAAATAAGAAATGAGTCCTGGCCTCTGACTGACCGATGCAAATATGTCTACAACCAATTATAGTTATTTCTATACAAGGAATGATCATAATAAACCTGAAATGTTGATATCTTTTATATTTAGTTTGGTTGTCCACTCCTGACTGACTGCTTAAAAATGTCCAAACACAAAACTTTTTCAACCATTAGGAAACAATAATTTCTTTGCACAAAACATATTTTGAAAATTCAGCAATTTTCTATGAAAAATAAGTTATGTTTTTGAAACACTGATGCCCACATATGGCATTTTATGGTGAGGGTTGAATTCTCTCAAATTCCAAAGGTCAAGGTTGAAAGTGTTGGTACCCAAAGGATTGATTGATTGTATATTGTTTAACGTCCTTCTCCAGAATTTTTCACTCATATGGAGACGCCACCACTTGCTGGTGGAGAGCTGCAAATTTTGTCTTATACTCAGGGCCATTGAGCAGGGAGGGATCTTTTTCGTGCCAGCACCTACTGTGACATGGGACCTCGGTTTATACGGTCTAATCCAAAGGACCGGTCTCCACATCCCACAATGGGATTTGAACCCGCAATGTAAGGATCTAGCAGACGCTCTAACCACTGTGCCACGTGGATGATGATACCCAAAGGAAGGTCAGGTCTTGTTACAAGGAATACATCTGTGAAATAAGAAAGCCTTAGTTCTAACCATTCCAAAGTTATGACCAAGGTTAAGGTTTTAAAAAGTGGCTCAGACTCTTAGGTCAAGGTCAAAAGGTAAAAAATATTTATACCAGCTGAAAGGGTCTTGTCACAATAAATACACATGTGGAGGATGAAAGCCCTAGCTCCATTTTTTTTCAAGTAATGGCTAACTTAAAGGTTACAGCGTGGTATTTGTTTGTAAAAGTAGGTCAAACTTCAAGGTCAAGAAGTCAAATTTGGTGGTAACCCCCCAAAAAAAGGTCTTGTCACAAGGAATATAAATACGGAATATGAAGGCCATAGTCCTACCCACTCTATAGTTATGAGCTAGGTTAAAGTTGACAACAGACAGACAGACAGAACAAGACGTGCTTCTAAAATACTGACGCCCTGGTATGGCAGCTTATGGCAAGGGTTGAACTCTCTCAAACTCCAAAGGTCAAGGTCAAAAGTGTTGGCACCCAAAGGAAGGTCTTGTTACAAGGAATACACCTGTGAAATATGAAAGCCCTATTTCTAACTGTTCAAAAGTTATGACAGTCGGTCAGTCGGTCAAATTTGGTGGTACCCATGAAAAGGTCTTGACACAAGGAATACACCTGTGAAATATGAAAGCCATGGCCCCACCCACTCAAAAGTTATGGACTAGGTTAAAGCTGACAACACACAGACAGACAAACAGACAGACAGGACAAAAACAATATACCCCATGATCTTTCGATCTAGGGGCATAAAAACAGACAGGACAAACAAATATACCCCTGGGATCTTTCAATCTACGGGCATAAAAACAGATAAACAGACAGACATGACAAAAACAAAACACAAATGTTGTTTCCTTCACTTTACATAATCTTTTACATACATGTATTTACATTCAAGCTGCAAGATACCAATGGCTTACTTTACCTTTTATAAACAATGGGATTCAATGTCATCATCAGGGTCATTTTCTGTTTGAGAATTTCCAAAAATAGGTATTAACAACAATCTGTCAATGTCTTTTAGTCATCAAGGGGAAAATTTGAGGAAACAAAAAATAATAGCCCAATAGAGGATTGGACTTTTTACACTTTTGCCATTCTTTTATTAGCCATTTTTTAACATTGGTGGAATAGCCATTAAGGGAACCAGACCGATAAGAATGAATTATCCTGTCTGTAACAAAAACACATCAAACAAATTAGCAGCAGATTCATGAAAATTTTTATATAAAAGAGATCTTTTCAAAGATTGTGATTGGTCCTTTATATATAGTGTGAAATTCATTTTCACTATCACAATTGTCAATCTGACTGAGAAAAACAACAGGTAAAGGCGCGATACATTCCATTTCTTCTAAAGTTCTCATCAAATAGGTCTCATCACTACTTAATAAGCTCCACCATCTTCCTTGTGGAGAAAAACTAATTATACAAAGCCAACTGATATTGTACAAGTACTATACAATTTCAAAAAAGCAATTCATATCATGCCTCTCAGAACAATCTGTGTCACGTAATAACAGAGCTCGAATCATCAGATCAGATTTGTCTGGTTAAGGCCAATATCTTGTATATTTTGTTAAAAATTATGTTCTAACTTGTGTGGGGACCTGACCTTCCAGAAAACCATATACCAATTAGTACTGTGATATTTTGAACACCATTTTCTTCAAGAATGTACAATGATTTAAATCTAAAGAACAAGGTACGGTTCCAATATAATCTGGCCCTGTATTTGTCAAAAATTCAGAAGTGATGTAAGAAATAAACTTAAATTCATCCTTTCTGAATTATTCAATTTCCATGCATTAAAAACATACAAATGCCCAAATTAGCAGTGCATGGTTATAATGATCAATTAATCATATGAATGCTTGATTAACTTGACCTGAAGAGTTTTTGATCAGCCAGATCATCTCAGGCACATCGCGACTAGCTAACCATACTGAACTTGTGTTGTGTTTATTTACAGCTGTTAAGTCCATCATATAAAAGTCATGTACATTACATAAGTACATTTATGCAAACATTTTACCTACATATTTAGGTTAAGTATTGATTGGTTGCTGGGGACGACATGTATGTAAGCAGTAGTTATTGTCATGTCAAATGACAGTTTCAATTTTATGTACTATAAACAGTGCCATGGTTACAACACCAAATATGTTACTGAACAGGAAAAACATTTTGCAACTGAGTTGAAAGAGTGCTTTGCTACAGGAGAAGCATGGGGGAAATGACACCAGATGTCACTTTCAGAAGCCAATTCTTTTATCATATTATGTGGTCCTTTGCATTACCTAGAATTCTTAAAATCCTCTAGTGATTTGAACAAATTTGAATCTATACACTAATCTGAATTGCCTTAGCTGTTTTTCACAGAGATTTTCTTATAAAGATGTTCCCTATATTTATCATATAAAACACTGTTTGCCCATTTTAACCCAAAAACTACCCCTT